GATGGCAGAGCCAGATAGGCATGTGTGCTGAAACAGGGTTCTAAAGCACAGTGTCCCTTATGTTTATGTTTAGATCAGATAACAAACTATGCCTTATTTACACCATTGTGTGAACATTTGCTCTATACCTTGCAAACAGGCCGTTTTGTTGCTAAATGTTTCCTGAGCTCCTGCAGAGGAATGCCCTGTGATCTGCATGCCCTTTGTTCCTGAATTCCTGCTTAGAGCACCTCATTCCTGGGAATAAAGCCTTGAGAATTAGAGACTCAGTGCTCTTTGTTCTATGGAACGGGAGTCTCCTGGTCCCCAGTTTCTTAAATATTAAATTGTCTGTATGTGATATTTTATTATTAGAGCCTTACCGTCCCTCTTTGTATCCACCACTACCTAGCCAGGCAGGGCGCAGCACGCAGGAACACGGTGAGAGCAAGACTGGAAGATTGGTAACAGAGAGGCCTATGGGACAGGATATGTGAACAGAGCTCTAGCAATGAGCACAGAATGGGAGGATGATCCTGTCCTGGAGAAGAGACCACGGCACATGAGCACTGAAGAAGATGCCCTGTTTCAGAGGTGTCAGTCATTGTCTTTCCCCAACCACCCTTGTGATCAACACTCATACACTGACTGTGGTTACTGAGCTACAGGTTGTAAATGGACACAATATGGCTTTCCTCTCATCAAGACTGATTTAGAGTTCCTGACATGGCCCTGTTCACCATGGAAACACACTGTTTAACAGCAGCCTGGCTAGCTACGTTGAACTGCTTCCAATGTGGCGAATTATATTCTACCTGTAGATTTGCCTTCTCTGACCACTGCAGACATGGGCTCATGAAAGTATTTCTAGCCTTGATGTTCTATACAGTTTGCTTCTAACTGAAGAGTAGATGTTATAGCAAAAGAAATAAGAACATATATATTTATTTTTAATATTTTATTTGTTATTTTTATTTTATGTGTATGTGTGTATTGCCTGCATGTAGGTAAGTGCACCTGTGTCATTCAGTGCTCTTGGAGGACAGAAGAGACTGTCAGATCCCCTGGAACTGGAGTTATAGACAGTTGTTAGCTGCCATGTGGGCGCTGGTATTCAAATCCAGGTCTTCTGCAAGAACAGTCAGTGTTCTTAACCTCTGAGCCATCTCTCCAGTCCCAAGAGCATATATATTTATAACCAATGTGGTTATGCCCATTTGATGCCCAGCCTTGCCATGTCAAGAACAGTCAGTGTTCTTAACCGCTGAGCCATCTCTCCAGTCCCAAGAGCATATATATTTATAACCAACGTGGTTATGCCCATTTGATGCCCAGCCTTGCCATGCATTATCTTCCCTAGAAGCAACTGGACTTACAGGACATTGAAGTAGGCCATGAAGGCTCTGTTCCAATATGGCCAGGAGATACTGCAATGCTGGAGATCTGAACTGTAGGATGCAGCAGATACTTTGGGGTATATGTGGTGTGTGTTTTCCCACAGTGGGAAAACCTGAGTCCTGAGGTGGAAGAGGGAGTGACTATTCCCATGATTAAATGTAACCCATCCACAAAACTGTTGCTTCCCCTGATAGTTCATCTTCATTGTCTCCTCAGCTGGATTTAGAATCACCCAGGAGAGGAGTCATACCTCTGGACCTGTCTTTGAGGGTGTTTCCAGAGAGGTTTAGCTGAAGAGAGAAGACCCACCCTGAGTGTGGGTGGCACCATCCCATGGCTGGGGTCCTGGACTGAATAAAAAGCAAAACAGGAGGAGGCCAGCTGGGCCTCAGCATTTGTCTCTCTGCTTCCTGACTAAGGGCACAACGTGCCCAGCTGCCTCATGCTCTGCTACATGCCTTCCCACCATGTCTTCTCAAACCATGAGCCAAAATAAACCCTTCCTTATATTGCTTTTTCTGGGTCTTTGTCATAACAGTGAAAAAAGCAGTATACTTCCTAGCACTGGAACTTGGGACTTCAGTGATTTAGAAATTGTAGTTCCTAAATGGGGGAAGGAGTACATACACTACGTCAGTGCTACCATTGAATTAGACATTTAAATTGGTCATTTTGAGTTCCTCGTGTCATCAACACTGCAGGTGAAAACATAGCTTATTCTCCAGGCTGGGCAGATTGAGCCTGACTGCTCAGGGCACACTGGGCTGCTGCTCCACCATGGCGGGTTGGAAGAGGATTCATGGAAAACAGGGTACTGCTTCCATGTGCAACCATAGACGATCAACAGAAAACCACAGCAACTCATGGACCACAGGAGTAGGAAGCATTCACCAAGTAAACGACACCAACCAGCTGGCAGAGGCAAAGAGAGCCTGATAGGCAGAGGGAATGAGAGAGAAGTGATGATTATCAACAGTGGCTAGGAGGGGTCGGTGTCAGAAATGTGGCATGTAGCAGCTCCGAAGATGACAACCTCCTCCTCCTCCGCCTCCACCTCTGCCGCCGCCGCCTCCTCCTCCTCCTCCTCCTCCTCCTCCTCCTCTTCCTCCTCCTTTGCCTTTTTGAGACAGGGTCTCCCTGTAGCCCCAGCCTTCCTTACTATTTTTTAAAAAAAGTTTTATCTATTATTATTGTTTATGTGTATGAATATATTGCCTGCAAATATGTAAGTGCAGCAGTGTTGTACAATGCCTGTAGAGGTCAGAAGAGGCCATTAGATTCCTCTGGAACTGGAGTTAAGGATGGTTGTTAGCCGTCATGTGGGTGCTAGGTACCACATCTGGGTCCTCTGCAAGAGCAGTCAGTGCTCTTAACTGCTGAGCCATCTCTCTAGCTCCGGATTTTCTTCTTTAAAAAAAAATATTTATTTTGGAGGCTGGAGAGATGGTTCAGTGGTTAAAAGCACTGGCTACTCTTACAGAGGACCCAGGTTTAATTCTCAGCACCCACATGGCAGCTAACAACCGTCTGGAACTCTAGTTCCAGAGCATCCAATGCCCTCTTCTGACCTATTATTTTTAATTATGCCTATGTGTATGAGTGTATTGCCTGCATGTATGTGAGTGCACCCATGTCGTGCAATGCCGTGGAGATCAGAAGAGAGCTTCAGATTCCCCCAGAACTGGAGTTAAGGACGGTTCGTAGCCGCCATGTAGGTGCTGGAAATCGAACCCAGGTCCTCTGCAAGAGCAGTCAGTGCTCTTAACTGCTGAGCCATCTCTCCAGCCTGTAGCACATGTTCTTAAC